AACAGGAGTTCAAAAGTGGTCCTTGTTGTTGCGTGTGTTTTTCGGGAGATGCATCAAAAAAATGCATTAAAATAGAATACATGACAACACTTGCCATTGCAGGCAGCACAGCTCCGCAAGCTGGCCACCTACAAAAGCCATCGAAAAACAAAGGCAAAAGCCACCAAAACCCAAGAGCCACCGAAAGCGAGCCTTCCTTCCTGCCCTCCTGCCTTTCTTCCTTCCATCCTTCCTTCCTTCCTTGCTTCCTTGTTTCCTTCCTGGCTTCCTTCCTTCCTTCCTTCCTTCCTTCCTTCCTTCGTACCTTCCTTCCTTCCTTCCTTCCTTCCTTCCTTTGTTTCTTTTCTTTATGTCTTTATTGATGCATTTTTATGTTTTCTTGATGCATTTATATTTTTTATTGATGCATTTATTTTTTTTTGATGCGTCTCCCCCCTTAAAGCCTTACTCAATTAAGTAGGCGCCTACTTAAATAAGTAGGGGCGAAAAACAAGAACATGCAACGGACATGAAAACTTAAGTCTTAGGCTCACCGCTTGGCTCCACTGGCACTTGGGAAGCACGTTGCGCCTGCAGAGCTTCGGTCGTTTCATACTTGGAAACGAACCAGGCACGAACATGCGCAGCACATATCATATCATGCATTAGAATAATCGATGTTTTTGTTTTTGTGCTCCATGATTTGCTCAGGTGTTCTGATCAATATTTGCAGGAGAGCTTCGCGAGAGAAAAGGCGAGGATCAAAAAAGCGAAGTCCTTTCCTGCTCCCCGCTTCACTTCGTCGCCCTGGACTTCCCGTCTGTTTGAGACAGGTTCCGCCTCGGAACTGAAGCGGTCTTCACATCTCACGAGCTCCATCTTCACGAACTAAAATGTTCATGTTTAAAGGCGCCTTGCAGTCAAACGGTAGTGTCTTTTTCTCCTTTCCCGCCGCACGCGGGCCCTGCCGCAGAGTTGCTGTCTTGATAAAACATCAATGTGGCTACTCCTGCCTTTTTGACCTCCTGCCCTCCATCATTGCTCACCTGGCAGGGAGATCAAGGATAGGAACATTCTGATTCCGATTTCGTTTCCGATTTCGAAGTGTTGCATACGCAGCATGTGAGCGAATAGCGCCAAGACACACGTGACTACCCAAAAAGGAATTGATTCTACTGAGCAAATGTAAAGCCGGAAATCGCCCCTACATGACTGGCGACTCTGGGCCTGCTTTGTCTGTCCGGCCCATACCTCAAAGAAGTCAAATCTCACGGCGTGACGGAGTGTGACGGAGTGACTGCTGTTTATACAATCAGGCAGTTGTTGGGGTTAGGAGCTGGCAAAGTCGTATGCTTCTTCCATGGTGATATGGTGCATTTGAAAAATCCAATCTTCCAGCCAACAACCATCAAGGTACATGGTATGGCGCATAGGTTTTCTTCAAACTGGAGATGTGATTGTACCTCAGCGATGCCGCGTGTGAAGCAACAGCTGGATCGAATTGTTAGATCCACCATGAAAGGTCCTAAAATTGAGATCCACACCATCTGTGCAAGTGCGGATACTGGAGCACAAACAGCCAAGGCAAATTAACCATTAAAACAAATCGTATCTACCGTTTGAGCCATATTTGTTGATTGCCAAATAATATGTCTGCAATGTTTAACTGGTTTGTCCACATGCTGGCCTGCTGTCTATCGGGTCGGGCATGTACTGCTGCAAAGCAGGTCATATCCTGCACTGGACTGAGGCGATTGAAGATAGAAGAACATGCAAGGTGACGAGAGCGCAAGCAGATGCGGTGACTTAACAAGATTGCCTGGTCTTGATGACGCAGTTCTTTTGCTATCTTGGATTCGCGTCTTGGAACTGCTCAGTTCCAAGCTGCGGCTCCCAGGCACCAAAAGTTCATGCATATGTGTTTATTCTTCGAGATGTGAACATTGAAGACAATGTTGCGCAGTCCATGACAATGTTGTGAAACCGGTGATACTGTCCTGTAACTGACAACCCCTTCAACCCCAAATCATACACCCTTCTTTCGATGACAATGATTTGGTGATCACAATATTGTGAAACCTGACTGCAATGTTGTGAAACCGATGAACACGTTCTGTAAACGATGACAATGTTGTGATGCCCATGTCATGAAATTGTCTTGCGGGCAAATCCCCCCCGCTGACCCAACAAGAAGGGAAAGCTTTCGGTAAGCCAAACAGGCTTCAAAAGCGGATACGCCAAATCAGGAAACGAGTTCCTTTGTTGGTTCCACAGTTTTTACACAAGCTAGCTCCAGTGGCGTGAGCTGGCTAACTGTTTAACTGGTGCTAGGTCGTGGGGCTGAGGTGAGTGAGCGCGCTAGTGAAAGACTGTCAGCAAGTGCTGCTTGGCTAGTGAAGGTTCTAAAGAGTGGAGGGTAGAGTGGCAAGTCATCGCAAGTTAACTAAGCTAAAGCAAAGCGCTGTAAGCCATTCCGGCGAGTTACCTGGATGAAGTAGGAATCATCCGCACGTAGAAGTGATATGTGGGGCTCCGTAGTGACTGCGGGCGATCTATGATCATCTATGGTGCTTTGCGCCGGCTTCAGAATCTTTACTGATGTGACACGATTTGCACTCCCAAAGCGCACAACAAGCCCACAGAATATTCCTACCACGGGAGTGCACCTGTCATAATTGTTCTCTTCTGCCAACCATCAGATGGATCGTGGTGCATTGCTTGCAGGTGGCACTTCGGCTGATGTTCGACCCACAATTTGCAAGGGGGTTGAGGCCCCAGGCTTTGGGATTTCTTTGTCCAGTGCATCCATAAGTTGTTCCTTTCTTCCATGCACGCGTTTTGCAGTTTGTTTGTCTGCACCAATGTCCCAAAAAAGTGGAGGATAAGGACACAGATCATGCATCAAAGGAGCACAGGTCTTCCAACTTTGCTTTGAGAGCAGTCACGCATACTTGTTCCAAGGAACACATTCTAAGAGCTGCTGAGACTCATCCAACAAGTTCGGATTCGGATATGTATTTGTTCTTTACTTTTTTATTTATATGTTTATTTATTGATGTCTGTATAGTTTTTCTTTTTTTGTTTCTTGTTCTTTTATTTTCTTGTCTTGTCTTGTCTTGTCATGTCTTTTCTGTTCTTTCTTTCTTTTCTTGTCTTGTCTTGTCTTTTATTGTCTTTTCTTATCTGTTCTTCTCTTTTTTCGTGTCTGTCTTTCGTTCGTTCGTTCTTTCTCATTGTCTGTCTTTCTGTCTGTCTGTCTGTCTGTCTGTCTGTCTTTCTTTCCTTCCTTCTTTCCTTCTTTCTTTCTTTCTCTCCCTCTCTCTCTTCCTCCAGACTTCCTTGGAAAGGGTCGTTACTGCAGGAGCTTTGCCACAATGTGGAATACGGTATCCCAGAGTCTCCTCAGCTGTAGCGTGGAACGTGCCACCCACATAGGACCTTCAAAGGAGCAAGATCAAGTTGCTTCGAAGCACTGCACATCAGGCAGCTTTAGACGTCACTTACTCAGCTTGTCTATTCAAACCTGTCTTGTCGTCTTGTCGCCACCTGAGCCCTGAACTGACTCGCTAGCAAAGTATTGAGCTCCTCAAGGCCACGCTCCGTGCGGAGGCTGGTCAGCACAGCCTGGAGCGGCTCCTTTTTTATTCCTTTTTCTGGTTGTTTCCTTGTTTTGCTCGGGTGGGTGGGCCATAGTGCAAGCTTAAGTAGCAAACAAGTACGGGTAAGCTACTAAGTTTAAGAGCTTCTTTTGCTTGCTCTGGTATTTGCTTAATATATTGTTTGGAAATATACCGAGGAGATTAGAGGAAAAGAATGGCAAACACGCTTGGGAAGAGCGAGTCTTCTAGCACACCAAGCTGGTGCCGGCAAATGTTGAACCAGAGGCTCAAGCTGCCGTTATGTGAAGTGACAGTGCGAACCTAAAATGTGTGAAATCTTGGTCCGTAGCCATCTGTGTAGAGAGTACAAAGGGAATAAACTAAACAAACCGGCCATCGTGTCATTTCGTCCGGACCTGCCTTCGGTGGCATAGCGGCCAGAGCGGCTAATCCTGCCATGAAGGGCTTGGCACAAATGAGGTCAAAAGAGAAATGAGGAACGTGTGAAACAATATGTTTCTAAAAAGGACATAAGAAGAAAAATAGAGAAAAACGCTCACAATTCAGATTTCTTGAAGGAAGCTCCCCCCGCCTGAGGGCTGGGAGGAACTTCCTTGAAGAACTCCTCGCGCGATTGATTTGATTCCCTCAAGCTTAACTTTCCTTTCTTCCCATGAGCCTGGCCGCTGTTGGAGCAAATGCTCCAGCCGAGGCACCAAAAAGCCTTGGACCAAGTCGCAGGGCACGATGCAAAAAGTCCGCCAAACTCAATTTTTGCAAAATCAGTTTTATTCATTTTCTGCGTCTCAAAGCTGATCGCCAACAGCCACTTGTCGTCACTACTCGATCATTTCGCACATCTCCATGACTGACCAAAACTGGGTATTTCATTGCTGGGCAACCAGCCGGCACAAAACACCACCGCTTTGGACTGAATGAAGTCAAAATGTCAGAGCCCCAAAAAGCGCGACAACAGTTTACCACATGCAACGCATGCCTTGTTGTGTCCGTGAGTTTGGTGACCTGCTGCTTACCAATCCAGGCACGGTGGCACGCTTGCATTGTTCATTGACATTTGCCAAAGCAAGAACACGGGCCACGCATCGCTATTTTGTCTGACCGACGCTGGATTCGGCTGCTCGTCTTCTGCGCATCCGGCCTTGCAGAAAAAAGGACTTTGCACGTTACATGCTGTCACAGAGCAAGCAGTCTTGAGGGCCAGTGGTGCAGCAAATCAAACAAAATATAGTTCACATCTGCTGCGACTTAAACATGTCTACCCCGTCGCACTTGCACCTGAGTTTGGCAGTTCCCCAACACTTTTGCAATCATGGGTGGTGTGCAGCGGGTTTTTGACATTGGTCGACTCAAGTGCTGTCAAAAGCAAGACTTCAGAAAAATGCGGTGCACAAAGGTACGACATCTCTATTAAACCAAATTTTGCCCAAGAGCTCACCCCCAAAAGCTAATCCCAGTTGTCTTCAAGCATGTTGGGCAATTGATCCAAGACACTTTTCGGCGATTGCGTTTCCTGGAGGCAAGCCGAGATCTCGCTCTTTCACAACTGAATGTAGTTGGAGGAAGTGGAGGGAGCAGCCGGCGCTCTTCCAATCTCCTCCGCTCTTTCTTCCGTGCTGCCGCGCCATCTTTGGCGGCCTCGGCAATGGTTGGAAACGGCATAATGGTTTGATATATGAAACAAACGCATACATGTTCATACACGCACTAGGTGAAACTTGTGCTTCGTTACAGTTTGTTCTGTGTTCCTCGCAGCCCGAAAGGTTTGCAGTCCGCCCCGGTCAAGTCACCTTGCTCCTGGTACCTCTTCCAAGAGTCTCTGACTGGCTGAGCGCGAAGTGGTCAGCGAAGGGTGAGTTGCGACAAAAAGCGCAATCCACTATCTAGGCAACAACACGCAGTAGAAACTGCGTTCCAGCGACCCATAGCAAGCAGAGCGTCCAGCGAGGTTCTATTTCCATTGGCTTGGCTGTTATGGCACAACGAAAAAAGTGTATAGCACGTCACTATACAGCTTCAATGTAGTAGCAATATGGTGCCACAAGGTCATAGACTCATTGCCCCAAAGAAAACGAAGCGACGCCAGCGCCGCAGACTCAAAGGAAGAAACTGTTTCTTTGCACCACCCTTGGAAGACGGGATGAGTAGAACAGCACGATCATACCCAAGAACAACATCCTCTCTTTTCGACCTCCTCAGCTCGATGAAGAGCTGCAAGCGCAACGATGATGAGGCGCACGGCAAGCGAAACCCTGGTAGCCCTGGTAGGCATAGGCGCGGCGCGCAAAGGGATTTCAACCTGATACTAAGCTCACGCTTCCAGGCGAGTCCTTCAGATTGGGGGCGGAACAATTGGCTACGCTCCCTGGCTCACAGCTCTCCCATTGATGTTCAACAAGTTCACCAACCACGCCATCGAAGTCCTCAAATGACCTCGCTGTAAAAAGGTCTCTATCGGCCTACGCCCTTCAGGCATGTCTCAGCAGGATTCTCCCCAGCCCAAACTGGGAACACTGCCGGCTGCCAAGTGGAGCGTAATATTTTTCCAGGAGGTGGTTCAGGATGCGGGGCTTGAACTTCAGCCTTTCACTGATAGAGCGACCACCACGTGAACCAGCGCTGAAGCGTCGCCCATGACACTGATGTGCTCGGGTAGCAGACAGGCATAGCCTTGGCCCACTTCCAGCGCTTTGCGCATCAGGTTGGGTCCAAATTCTTGCCCCCTCACAAAGGCTGCCACTAGCCTTGAGTTCAATGTGAGTGGGACCAGGATCACACTTGATCAAGGCCCACGCCGCCCCAGGCGAGGACGTGGCTTCAAAGCCCGTTGAGCAAGAGAGGCCCATCCATGGTCCCCCTTGTCGTGGCCATCCGCTTCTTTTGGCGTGTCTTGTGTGGTGCCATGAGCCTCGGGGACTTCAATCGCTGGCGCTCACCATGCTTGCCACCCCCTCCTGAACTCCCCGACCAGGTCCTGAAAGAACAGAAGGGGACTGCTTTGACCCAACTGAGCCGAGAACTATGTCAGTTTAACCCTCATGCATAGACCTGCTAAGGAGACGACATATACACGCACGGCCTATACAAATACGAACAACTACAGTATCGGTTCAATCATGGCCGCAATGCAGCTCAAGTTAGTCGGATTGGCTATCCTTACAAAGCGGCTAGCTCCATTTTGACTGCGACACTGCGAGTTGTCAAATTCAACTTGCATGTATTTGAATGTCCACTCATCATCTTGTGTCACATAGTTGCGTATCAGCTGCACCTGCGATGCAGATGCCTTCGCCAGCAGCAACTTCAGTGCGTCTCCTGTGCTTAGTTTCAGACTCTAAAAGCCTCCTAAAGCCACAATCCAACCCAGTGGCAATGTTTTTGCGTTGCATCTGTCAATTCTGTGTGTGGCTCTGTTGGCCAGCAAAGCTTTGTAAGAGCGTTCCATTCTACACAAGCTGGGACTCAGCGCAATGGCAAACTCCGACAAAAAGTGTCCACAAGATGCGACTTGTAACTACTAGTAGCAGGTGCATCGCTACTAGTAACAAGTGCATCGCTAGTAGTAACAGGTGCCTTACTAGTAGTAACTGACAAAGCTGCTTGCAGTTTGCTCGTTGTCGGAGGCAGCATGGAGATAAGCTCATAAACAGCTTTGGGGGAGGACACCCCGATTCCTCTCGCACTCAAAGCCCCACAGCTTGGAGCTGAGGCTCAAAGTTCTCAACACTATAGAAAGAGCTTTGACGATGGCCTCCAAAATTGGAGCCCCTTAGAAAGTGAGTCACCAAGAACTGATGTGCATCACATCAACAAGGGTAGAATGTTCATCCACCATGAGTGTACGCATTCATCTCTTTAGCGGATTTAGATTGTATATTCACACCGTTTCTCTCCAATTGAGGTCGCAGCACTGGGATCTGCAGAGGCCATGAGGTGGGGGCAGTCACGACTCCAGGCCACGCCTTGGGTCAACATTAACTATAGTAGCTACAAGGTAGGCTTAGGCGCTACTAGATTCAGTGACGCAGAAAAGTTCAGACTTCATGATTGATTTGGTTCCTGGAACTTCGGAAGCCTTGGCAGTCTTGGCAGACTGATAGAACTGCCACAAAATGTCCCCAAAAAATGTCTCAGAAGGTGAGGAGAAGCAAATGTCCACTTGTCAAAGATGCACCCGAGCACAAAGCCGCTGGGCAAACTTCCTGAGTGTCCACCGTGGACCTGAGGTATTCAAGGCCTCTTGAGCTCAATCGGACAAGTCTAGTGGACTATATCGAAGAGTAGGCTATTCAACCTTGGTGATTTTTTGCTGATTGCTTTCATGTTTGACTCTTCCTGATTTCCTGACCGAAGCCCCAGCATACCCAAGTTTTATCTTCAGGGCATCCAGCCTTGATGCCGACATCAGTTGTCTTGGAACCCGGCAAAGACCACTCCGGGAGGTTCTGCTGAGATCTGCGACTGCCCAAACCCAAACAGAAAAGGTTCAAACTCCACAAAAAGGGAAAAGAAAAAACATCAAAATACATATTTACTCCAATTAATTCTTTTGCAAATTCCAAAAATGAAGAGAATTGATTCGAAAGGTTGACATGAGAATTGGCTGCAATGAGATCGTTAGTTGCAGAAGTTTGTCTTGGACCAAAACTCGAATCCTTTGACTTAAAAATAACATAAGTTTATAATGTCAAAGCAATTCACAGAAGGCGGGGAAACTACTGTCGAAAACTTTCCTTGGATGCTGGGTTCTCGACATTGCCGGAACCTTTTTGGCAGAACCGTTTTACGTTGTTTTGAACCTTTATCCGCAATTCCACCCGGCCCACAAGCTTCAGAATCTAAGGAGGCCGTAATACTTAATACGAATACAAATCCTTGTTCTTGGACTTTTTGGACCTCCCATATAGCTGGCAGCTCGGTGCAGCAAACGACCCCAAAACGTAAATTGGCAGACACCAAAGCATACTATATAGATTTTGTTCGCGAGCAGCACATTGAATGTGGACTCTAAAAGTTCAACTGGCTTAGCCAGAATGCATACAGATACAGCGCACTACAAAGCACTCCAAGCGGAGAACCCCCGCCTGTGAGTGAAGTCTCTGATTTCTTTCCACATCCCAAAGCCTTGGAAAACTGCGAACATGCTGCACGGTTCCTGTTGCAAATCCTTGAAAGAACAAATTAGCATCGCCACAGAGGTTGCTCCAATAGTTTTATCGCCGACTCTCTGCGGTCTAAGCCCGGCACAGTTGGCGGGGCTGTAGTCACTAAGCAAAGCTCGTGAGAGAGGTCGAACTAAAAGGGCCGGGCCACGTCACAAGCCCGACGAAGAGGTCGTGAGTGCGTCCAAGAGCGGACCAACCCAGCGACAAGATCCACCGTCACAGGGGAAATGGAAATGAACAAACCACCAA